ATTGTAGGGGGGTTGGACTGGGTGACCCTTCAAGGTCCCTTCCAACCCAGGACATCTTGTGGTTCTGTGGAGCACAGGGAGGGATCCAGCCCTGGTGGAAGAACAAAGCATTGAATCCCTGCATCACACAAGGTGTTCCTGGCCAGAGCAGCACTTCTCCCACAGCTTTTGGGTGCTGTCCCTCCTGACCTTCCCCATTTCCTCCTCCTCCTCTCCCTCCATCCTGGTGGCCAGAGGTGGTGGCTGCTGGAGGTCCCAGCTCCATCTGGCTCTCAGGGTTGAGGAGTTCAGAGCAGCTTCACTTCAGCAGAAGGTCTCAGGCTTCCCTGGGAAGCCTCGGGCAGCTCTGGAGGGGTTCCTGGCTGGGAAGCTGGAATGTTTGCAGGGCTTAGAGGTCCTGGCCACAGAAGTCTGTCTATTTTTGTGTCTAATCCACCACCTTTTGGGCTCAGCTCCCCCTTTCTTCTGCAGTAATTGGAACCACGGGCTCCTTGGCCTTGTTTCTGTGCCAGAGCTTCTGCTCAGACCTGTGAGTTCTGTCCCACATGAGGTTTCTCCACCTTCCAGGAGTCACCTCCTGGGCAGGTCTGACCCAGCCCAGGTCACACAACATCACAGGAGCCTCAGGGCTGGGAAAGACCCCTGAGATCAGCCAGTCCAACCAGCCCCCAGGGTGGGCAGGGGAGACAACACAACCCACCCCAACAAACAACAACAAGAAGCAAAACAAGCCCAAAAAACCAAATGAACCCCATAAAGCCCCCCCAAAAAACCAACCTCCCACCAGCACCCAACCCACAGCCCCCTATGCCCACCAGAGCACCCAGCACCTCCTGGGCTGCCCATTCCAGGGCCTGACCACCCTTTCCATAGAGGAATTCTCCCCAAGATCCAACCTGAGCCTCCTGGGGGCAACTTGAGGCTGTTTCCTCCAGTCCTGTCCTTGTTCCCCTGGGAGAAGCAGCCAACCCTGCCCACCCCCTCCTTCCAGGGAGCTGCAGAGCACTGAGGTCTCCCCTCAGCCTCATCCAAACTAAACACTCCCAGATCCTGAAACATGAACTGATGTTAATCCCGGGATTGGGGGGAGGCCCCAGCTGGGCTCCCTCGGGAATTTGCTGCCTTGGTTTCCTCCCCGCCTCCCTGCCTGAGCCTGGCTGAGCTGGCAGGAGGGCTGAGGTGTCTCCTGGCTCTGCAGCTCCAGCTCCTCTGGCTGCTCCCGTGCCCGGGTCCGGGCTT